GGCGGCGGGTTAGCCTGCCACTGCGGCTACCACGATGGGCTTGTTCTAATTAATCTGGAGCTCAAGGATGTGTTTTGTCTTGTCCAACTGCAGTTAGCAGCTTCTTGTCCAAGCTTCCCTGCAGCTAAGGAAGATAAACAGGCACAGGCAGACAATCCATCATTTCAGGGAAGGAGGAGACCAAGCCTGGAGTTGTTTGGTGGTCCCCCATCTGCAGTAGAAGCCAGGATGTCCCGCTTGGCCTTAGATGAAGTGCTGTCAGCTCCCTGCAGGGAAGGGAGGGAACACCCTCCGAGGTGACAGAGACACCCCTGTAGTCCCTCACCGGGAAGCAGGCAGAGCTCTTCCGCCAGCAACTCACACCCGTCTCCCAGTCCTCTCTGGAGCTGCTCAGCCCCCAGGAGGAGCAGGGCGGCATGGCTAGCTGTGCCCTTGGCTCCGGCTGCCTCTTCCCACCAGGGAGCAGCTCACAGCCAGCTGTGGTGTGAAAGCTTGTCCTCTAGGAACTGGCCTGGGCTCACCCGCTCATTTCGCAAGGATTCGCTGCCAAATGATTTCACAAGGTTTATCCAAATATACACACGTGGGGTTTTTCTGTACTGTGAGAGTCAAACCCCAGGAGCTGTGAAAACAGGCTTGCCTTCTCGCTGAGCACAGAGCCCCTCCTGGGGTCGAGCTCGCTGGGAACAGCCACCTCTTGTAGGAGAAGCCTGTAGGATACAGCCCCAATTCTTGTGTGACTCACGAGGAGCAGCTCCCACGCTCATCGGCATAGGGGCCAGGAAGGCCAGGCCAGGCCTCCTCATTGCTCCTAGCACCCCCAGGGCTGGTCTCATGAGCATTGTGCCTGCCCCCTCCAGCAGCGGGAAGCATGTAGAGTCGTGCTCTATGTCTGTGGTGTTTTATGAGGCTTTCTTATGCTCGGACTCAAAAGCTCCGGTATTCCACATGTGGGAGAGCCATGGGAAGCTCCCTAAAATGAGAGTCCTCCTTTATGATGGGTGGGCTGGAGGATGTGTCACTGAGGGAACAGCAAGGAAGGGAGTAGATAAGCCCAGGCAGCAGGAACGTACCCCTGAGGCACCCCCGCTCAGTCAAATGGCTGCGCTGGGCATCCCAGCTGAAGGTTTCAGTCCCATCTGTGCATTCAACAAGGTCCCATAGGAATTCATGGACCACCAGACCAGTAGGAGTAAAGTCCACAGCTGGTGGAGGGAAGGAAAAAGTGAGTTGTGTGTGCATTAGTACAGTCTTTTTGGGAGGCTCAGCTTGGTGTTGGCAAGGGATAGCTAAATCTAAGATCTGTTTTTGTGAAGTTGCAGCACGCTGCTCCTCTGCTTGCAGGCACAGCATGTGTTTTAGGGTCTTGGGTACAGAGTCTTGCAAGGAGTCTGTGCTCATGAAGATTTGGAAGGTAATAAAGCCTGTGGCCTTTGTGCATTGATGGAAACTATCCAGCCTGGAGGGAAAAGCACATGTCTCCGGTGGCTGTCTGGCAGGTTGCGTGCATTGTATCGGTCGTCTCTGTCCAGTTCTTGGTGGAAAGTGGATGCATAGCCATAAAACAGTCCTTGTCTCTTAATGCTGCCATTTTATCTGGCCCAAAAAAATCTTTCCTTTGCTGTCAGCTCCACAGGGAGACTGCAGAGGCTGGGGTGGAAACTCAGAGTGCTGCCAGCAGTGCTGCCTGTACTTCTCCCATGTTCATGGAGCTCTGTCAACCAGTTTGTAGTTGCTGGGAGAAAATGCCACCACCTTGTAGTAATTCCCATGCTCTGAAAACAGTTCTCAGCTTTTGGGCTGTGAGGTGTGCAGCACCACGCTGAGTGTGTGGGTACAGGGAGTGGGTGCGTGTGGGAGCTGAGGCAGGGAATGGCACAGAAGCCCTCCTCACCAGCCCGTGCCTTGCTCAGCACTGTCCTCTGCAGAGTGAGCACCATGAAATGCGGAACGAGGGTATTTCTGTCTGGTTCCCCGGGCTTGGTGAGCAAGGCCTGATTCTGGGCAGGACATGGGAACACGACCCTTCCCGCTGCAGGAAGGGGGTGAGTTAATGCAGAGCCTCTCTGAAACAGGTGGTTGAAGGAGAAGGCAGCATGCCTCTGATAAAGTTGTTCTCCAGGAAAGCAAACTGTTACCAGGCTGGCGCTGAATTTCAGTTGCTTCGCTCTTGCAGTTGTGAATATTTTTAATTTTTAAAACAAGTTTCTTCTTGTTCCAGGAAAAAAAGGTACAAGATGGCATGAACTCAGGGTGATCTCAGACTCACTTTTATTTGAGCTGCTGTTCTCCTGTTGCCTCTTTTGCTGCCAGTCATGTCAGTGGTGGAGTAGCTAATCCTTTGGGCTTGTGACAGAACCTCCCCAGTGCTGGCAAGGAGGGCAGTGCTTCTCCTTGCTCTGATTACTAACCCCCAGCACCCAAAACATGCTCCTGAAGCTCTGCAGAGGTGGCATGTGTTGCTCTGCATGCTGTGCTCTGACCATCGCAGCAGGGCTGTGTAAGGAAAAACTTGCTTTTTCATGTGTCTTGCACGCAGATGGGTGCATTGTCTTGACTCTTAAGTTGTACAAACCATGCAGGTACTTTAGAGCAAGTGCCCCTGACTGACAGTGCTCCCTTTGCTTTGCAGCTGTCCTCCATTGTTGAGATGCTGGAAAGTGCCTTTTATGGCTTAGACCTTCTGAAGCTGCACTCGGTCACAACCAAGCTGGTGGGTCGGGTGGAAAAGCTTGAGGAGGTAAGATGAGTCCTGCTCTCTTCTTCGAGGTTGTTACCTTCAGTAGGACTTGCCTCAAGTCAAGTTCTTGGTACCTTCGGTGCATTCAGAGCCTCATTTCTTTTGGAAGAAATGTTAACCAACTGTTAGGCTGCAACTAAACTTGACCAGACTAGACCCCTGTTCCTCGCGGGCAGTGCCCAGTGTATCACCACTCCATTAGCCTCCCCTGACCCTCTCCAGTTCCCCATATCCCCTGTGGCTCAAACTGGATGTAGGATCCCAGCTGTGGCCTCATCAGAACCAGTATCCCTTTATGTGGTCAGAAGGGCCTGCTGTTAAGTTTTTCCTCTTTGCAGTTTTAAGTCTGTGCTGGTGTGATAGTTGCTTCTTTTGTGCTGTTTGATGTGGGCACAAGAGATTCGGGGCTGGTGCTGGGGTACACTCACCAGAACTGCTGGTAGCCAAGGAGGTCAGATTTCTTAAGGACAAAGTTACTTCTTGGCCTGTGTTAATAAAGAGCTGAACAGTCAACACTCCAAAAAAGATACATAAAGTACCTTCCTTTTCATTTTTTTTTTTTTTTTTTTAGGGCAGACTTTCAGTGAAATACTTTTCACTCCCATACAGTTTAATATTTCTTTGGCTAGCACAGCATAGGGTTTGCAGTGTATTAAGCTGTGCTCAGCTATGTAGCAACAGGTTGCCAGATTAAATACTGGAGTTTTCTCCCGTGGTTCGTATCTGGGACAGTAATTTCACATTTTTGTCAGAGTGAAGCAGTCCTGTTCAGCAGCAGCCAGGAGCCGAGAGGCGATGATTTATAAGGCCAAAATTCCACTTGCAAAGTGTTTCAGGAAGGCACGCCATGCTTCATCCCGGGGTCAGGAAGGAGACAGCCGAGAGGAGCGTGTTCGCCTGGGGGGCTCTGTGTTTCCAAGCTCAGTGATTGACCCAGAAGGGGAAAAAGGGTTTTGAGGTCTAAAAATAACAAAGCACCAATGTTTATATTTTCAATCCCACCCTCTTCCTGTGGTTTAGCATATTTGCTGGTTGTTCTTGAGTTCCTAATTAGGGGAGAGGAGCGAGGGAAGTGGGAGCTGTGTTGCCAGCCCCCCTATGCTGCGTGTCCCCATTGGGGAGCTTCACCCCTGTGTCACTGGTCGCCACAGATAGAGTGGTAGAGTCAGCCCTGTCCCATGGCACGGTGAGCTGGTCTCCCCCACAGCAGGGGACAGAAAAGGTGCCATCAGGACAGATTGATGGTCTATTGCTATTTAATACCCACAGTTAGCTGGATTAGGGATGATGAAGGAAACAGGCCTTTTTTGGTATCATTTATGGATCTGTGGTCCATGAATTTGTCTCCCCTGAAAGCAGCTGACTGCACTCTTCTTTGGTGTGGAAGTGGCCCTGTGTTCCAGCCAGTTCTTGCACAGGGGTTCAGTGCAAGCAGTGCTGGTGGCAGTTGTATGTCTAAGAACATTGGGGTGACCTTGCAGCGTGGCTGCTCTGCTCACAGCCTGTTGCAGTGGCACAGACAGGCAGGAAGCTTGGTCTGGCTGATGTAGGCCAGAGAGGGAGCAATGAAGGTGTAGGAGGGGGGAATTCACAGATTCGTGTCTTCAATTTCCCAGAAGCAGGACCATGGGATCATGTAACAAGCAGTTGAAGCTGCCCGCAGGCACTCAGATGGGATGGAGCAGGCCAGGAGACGTCTGGGTTGATGGAGAATCATCATCTGGTACATGGAGATTCCCCTGGTGCTGCTGGGGCAGGGCAGAGCTGATGCAGGCAGCGCAAGGCAACAGGTGTGAAATGCCTCCTGCTGCTCGCTTAGCACATAAATTCCTGTTGGGAAGAGGAGGATCACACCCTGCATCAGCCACAGGATCCGATATGGACAGCTGAGATGCTGAACAAGAGCCTGGCATGGCTTCAAAGCATCGCCCTCCCAGGCAGGTGTGCTTTTGGCAGCTGCTCCCCAGAAAGCAGCTGAGCGGCCTCAAGCAGCATCACAGGCCAGGCTTTGGTGGTGCCTCCCCTCTCAAGGGGACACAGATTTTATCCCTAAGCAGGTCGTAAGCCAAAGGTTACACAGAATAATTGATAAGGGCACAAGGCTGTCAGAATCAGTCATCCTCCCAAGAGGAGGATGGTATCGAAGCTGCTTCTGCTCCTGTGCTGCTCCTAAGAAAGCATCATGAAATCCTCTGTTCCTTTTCTTACTACAGCAAAATGCTTGCTGAGAAGCCCTTGTGTTATTAGTCTTAGCCTCAAAATTGCATGATAAATATGTGACTCACAATTCCTGGGTAAAGACTGGGAATTCAGATGCCCACAGAGGGGGACTGGGGATTAACTGAGCTCAGGATGGTGTTGTTGCAGAGATGAGAAGTTATTCTGAGTTGTCTGCAGTATAACAAGGTGTTTTACACACACAGTGTTGGTAGAGGGAAGGAACCCTCAATATTTGTTCCACAAAGCTAGTGTCTTCTCTAGAGAGGTGGCTTCTCTGCTTTTTCTTTAGCTTGCAGCTGTTACATCAGCTGGTGATGTTGAGGTTGCAGATGGAGGTCACGGTGGGGTTTAGGAGAACTGGATGGTGGGATAGATTGATGATGAAGGGCTGGGGGAACCACCCTCAGTCTCTGTGCAAAAGTGCTGTGATTGATGTGCCACCTATTCAAAGCAGTAAAATACCAAGGAGTGATGAGCGGAGACGGCAACAACCCCTTGGATATCAGGTGTGCCTCTGTTTGGGAGACTGAGAAGGGCAAGGTATTTGTCTGCCCAGTGAGCTGCAGCCAGCCCAGCTCCCTCCTGGTCCCAGGACAACTCTCTGAGGGTCACTGTCTCTCCTCTTCTCCCCTCATTCTCCCTCTCTTCATGGGAGTGGAGAGTGGTGGGGAGGAGCAGTCCTTGAGTGTGGCACTGAGTGTCCGAGCAGTGAGGCAGGACCGAGAGAAGAGAAATCAGACAAGTGGGATGCAGACCTCAAGGACTTGCCTCAGGGGTCAGGCACGTAGTGGCCAGCCAGGATGGGATCCTGCTAGGAAAGTGGGATTAATAAATGGGAGATGAACTTGCTGTCATAGCCAAAGGAGTCAATGCTGGGACTTCAGATGCTTTAGCTTGTCTTTTCCTTTTCCTTCTATAAACCAGTGAACATGGCTGAAGATGGACACTGAAGAACCTCAAGGCCACTCTTGTGCTCCACGGGGCATCGTGGCAAAGGGTGGATCTGGGATGTGCACACCAGGGATGGAATTTCTGGATCAGGGGCACCTTTTTAGCAACTAAAGCACCCAGCTCCATGGAGAAGCCCAGCTGTGAGCCCAGGATGTGAGCATGGAGCTCGCTGGCTCTGGGCTGCACTTTGGGGGGCCGTGGAGCATTCCTTGTCTTTACATGGCGTAAAGTCCTCTCTTGCTTTTCTAGGGCATGTCCAGGAACTTCACACAGCAAGGCCACCGGGCAGGAGCCAACATGGAGGACACTCTGCAGAATCCCCACCGCAGGGACCAGGAGAACTGCTCCAGCCTCCTCACCAACAGCCTTGCTGACATTGAGAGCTCGCTGCAGCGGGATGCTGAGGCTGCCTACGTGCATGCAGAGGTATGACCGTCCAGGCAGGTTGCATGGCTTTTGAGATTGCTGCCGCAGTGCAAGCCAGCCCTGAGGGTGTCTCTGGATGTGGCCCCTGGCCCAGGGTTATTTTCTCCTCGACCCCATTTCCGTGCCTCCGGCTCCAGCCTGCTTCTTGCGGCACAGTCCAGCTGCCGCCGGGATGTAGGAGGGAGCAGAAGCGGGCTGCTCCTCGGGCCTCCCCCCTTCCCCTGGGGCTGCTGGTGTGCGAGGTCAGCGGCGGTGCTGCTTGGAAAGCGTGATGTCATTGCAGGCGGCTGGGAAGCGCTGGGAAACTTGGAGCCTTTGGCTAGCAGGGCCTGGGGGCTTGGTGCAGGGCAGCCTGTCACCCTCTATTCCTCCCGGGGCAGTGCCCCTCCCCAGCCAGCCTCCGTGCCTGGCGGGCTCCAGGCAGGGCCTCCAGCATCCCACTGGCTCCAGCCTCAGACTGTGGGGATCCCAGTGGGGACTGCCCAGCGCGGGGACATCCTGTGCCTGGGGCAATGGTTTCTGTGCAGCCCCAGAAAGGGGTGTGTTGGGAAAAGGCCTTTCTAGGGTGTCCTGACCCCCTTGCTGCTTTGGTGGTGCAACCTAGCATGGCCTTGTGCTGCTCTGATCCATGTTGGGTGGCTGCTGGAGCATCCTGCCTTTACCCCAGGGTCCCCTCTGCAGGGCAAAAGGAGGTGTCTGGGGACAGGAGGAGCTGTTGCTGCATCATTTCCAGCTCCAAAGAGGGGTGTTCAGCTCCAGGGAGTGAGGGCAGCCTGCACATGGCCCCTGCAGGTCCTACACAGGGCGGGGCTCCCGGAGCCCTCGTGAGAAGGATGGGCTCCCACTGTGTGCTGTGGGGCACTGACCCTGACATGCCATGGCAGCTCTGCTCCAGGCAGGGCGGTGTGTCTAGCAGCGCTCCCAGTGCCTCTCCCCTGCTCCCCAGGCCATACCTGGAGCATGGGCTCTGCTGCCTACTGGAGACGAGCCAGCCCAGTCCAGGCAGGAGAGAGAAGCGTGGGGCTTTTATTACTCTAGGTGACCTCATTTCCTGATGTTCCCTTTTTCTCACTGTTAATTGCAGCAGGGCTGTGAAGGAACCCTGGGCCCGTCTTCTCAGCCAAATGGGCACCACTTCAGCCTTTCAGCTGTCTTTCCGATTCCTTTAATGAGATGAAATCCTTCAGGCATGAGCTGTGGCAGCTGGTGGCTGCCTCGGTGCAGAGCTCCCGCTTCCTGCCCTGGCTGGCAAGGTCCCGCTCCCTGCCCTGGGGATGGTTCCTAGTCCATGCTTGTCAGGACCTTCAGCCTCTGCTCTACCAAAGCTCAGTGCACATTGCACGCTCTCCACGGATCAGGTCCTGGCAGTGCCAGGGAGTGGACATGCGAGCGGCTGCAGTGAGGGCTGTGCCCTGCTAATGCTGCCCCAGGATACCCCTACCCTGTCCTCTCATCCTGCATCCCACAGCCTGTGCCTTCCTGAGCACCGGGTCCCAGGTTTGCAGGGTGGCACCAAGGTCATGCAGAAGAAATACTAGTCTGCATCTGAAGAGAACTCTGAGAAGTGAGGGAGGACAGTGTCCTACCCAATGCTCGACTGGCCAGCCTGACCTGCCCCATCTGCCAAAACACGGCTGTTCTGGCCCATCCCCTAACAGCTTCCTGCCTCTCTTCCAGGGAAAATATGAAGAAAGATTCCTGAAAGAGGAAACCATATCCCAGCAGATCAACTCTGTTGAGTCCTTCCCGGAGCTGCACCTCTCTCCGGAGGATGAAAAGCCTGAGCAGCTCTTGCAGAGGAAGCTGCGTGTGAGGAGCCGTCCTCCTTCCAAGCCTACCATTGTCCGAGGGGTCACCTACTACAAAGCCCAGTCCACTGAGTCAGAGAATGATATTGAGGAGCAACGTGAGTTGGGTTTGCAGCCATGTCCAGTGGTATGGTTGCATCCTGCAGCAAAACCAGTGTCCTGAGTCCTGCCTCATCCCCTGGGAGGCACATGGGGTCACTGTGGGGAGGAGGGCTTGGAGGTGGGGTGATTGGTACCTCACCCCTGTGCAGCCTTTGAACCCTATGCGTGGGACCAGTGCAGCATTGTTATTCCATGAAAAATCCCTGGTAGCTAAGGAAATAGGTCACTGGTTTGGTTCCAGGTACCCAGCACCAACACCTATCCAGAAGTAAATGCGTGTTTGTTACATATGTCGGTCCTGCAAATGCACCTGCCTGATGGCATCAGGGAGGTTTTTGCAGTGGTCGGGGTACTGGAAGTTGGCTCAGAGCTGCTGCTGGTTGCCTGATAGCTCAGCAGGGTGCCGCTTACTGCCCTGACCATGGTGAGAGCAGGGCTGGAGCCCCCTGGGACCAACAGCATGGGCAAAAAGGCAAGTGCCCTTTCTCTGCAAAGCTGTGTGTGGGTTTGTGAGGTCCCTGAGATGAGGAGCAGCAGAGGGCACCTGCTGTGGCTGGGGAGCCCAAGTGGTCCCTGTGCCCTGGGTGAGGCACTCACGTAGGCAGCCTGGGTTAGGAGGGTGGGATCTGGCTGGGTGCTGCAGCAGTGTCCATCCCATCCCAGGCAGCATGGGGCCCCTACTCCATCTCTGGGAACTGGCAGGACTGAATCGCTCTCCATCACCTCCTGCTCTGCCCAGCCTGAGGTGGTGAACATGGCTGCGATGGGGTCTCGCTCACCTTCTAATGTAGGCACCATCAGCTCCTGCAGTTCACACAGCCCTTCTCCAGCTGGAAATTATGAGGGAAACCCAAATGGATTTAGTACAATACAGCCTGGAGAAGTGGGCAGAGGGGCCAGAGCAGTGGGGTTAGCGCAGAGGGGCTGTACAGGACTTACTCCTGCTCTCTCTGCATTTGCCAGCGGATGAGCTGTTCAGCGGGGACAACACGGTGGACCTGCTGATTGAGGACCAGCTCCTGAGGCCCAGCAGCAGGGTGGGCGAGGATGCAAGGAAGCCTTCCCCGGTGGGATGGCCACCCACCTCTGGCAGCGACCCTACCACCCTGCCAACTGCCGACACTGCCTCGGTGGCCACAGTGCCTCTGTCCCCTGCCATGTCCACAGAGCCCATGCTGGTCCCCACCGCTGTGAGCCGGCTGACCCCCACCCCGGAGACCATGACTGCCCTGCCAGGGCTAGTGGAAGAGGAGACTCCACAGCTACTGGCAGGCTTGCCCCGCACGGTGATAGCCACAGCCACAGAAAGCCTGCCCACAGCCACCACTGCTGTCCCCAGCCCTGCTATGGCCACCACCACTGGCACCTCAAAGGACATGGGGATGAGCCCTGCCCCAGAGACCAGCCCAGGAGCTTGGGGACCAGCAAGCACCCCCCCAACACCAGTCAATCCCACCATCCCTGCCACTCCAAAGCAAGCCCTGGAGGAGGAAGACATCAGGAACATCATTGGTGAGTGCCTGCACTGATCCAGCTGTGTGCATGAGGGCTTGCTTGTGCCCACAGTGTGTTCTACTAAGCATAGCACACCTGAATTTGGTCATGGGTGGGAGGTACCATGGAGATGGTGGCTGGACAGCACGTTACTGGGGTGCCAGGTTTACTTGCTTGTTAACTCTGGAACCTACTATCGTCGCTCAATTTTGAGGGGCCAGGCAGGCCAGAAAGAGGCCGGCCAGAAAGAGGCCTGCCTGAAGATGGGACCCAAGACAGGCAGCAGCATCAGCTGGAGCAGGAACATGGCTGAGGCTGTGGGGAACCATTTGCAGGATCTGGCCAGTGCTGCTGGACCTCATGAGGCTGTGCCCAGGGCGAGGCAGTGGGGATACCTGCTGGGCAGGCAAAGGGCTGGAGGGGGGTGATGCTTGCAGACCCCCAGCAGGAGCAGGGAGAGCATGGCTGCACTGCTTCTGGCCTTGTGAGCTTTCTCTGCCCGCACAGGGCGCTGCAAGGACACACTGTCTACCATTTCGGGGCCCACCACCCAGAACACCTATGGGCGCAATGAGGGGGCCTGGATGAAGGACCCCCTGGCCCAGGAGGAGCGTATCTATGTCACCAACTACTACTATGGGAACACGCTGGTGGAGTTCAGGAACCTTGACAACTTCAAGCAAGGTGGGTTTGCATCATCCCTAGTGCTGCTCGGCTGGTCCGAGAAGTGTCCCTGTTCCTAGGATGCTGCACCATGGGAGGGTTGTCTGGCAGGGACCCTCCCCTCTTGGGTGCTGGTATCCGGCATGTGGGGTTCAGAGCATAAGGCAGGTCAGGCTGCCCCTGGTGACTCTAGACTTGCCTGTCACTAACACCAGGCTGCTGCTGGTGGCTGGGGAGGGAGCACAGCAGGACTGTGGGCAGAGGGTGCTGCTGATGGGGCCACCAACCCCAAAGCAAAGGGAAGGTCTTGCCAGCAAGGTGTCTCTGCCCCACAGGTCGCTGGAGCAACTCCTACAAGCTCCCGTACAGCTGGATTGGGACAGGGCATGTTGTCTACAACGGCTCCTTCTACTACAACCGGGCCTTCACACGCAACATCATCAAATACGACCTGAAGCAGCGGTATGTGGCTGCCTGGGCCATGCTGCATGATGTGGCCTATGAGGAGTCTACCCCATGGCGATGGCGAGGCCACTCAGACGTGGACTTTGCTGTGGATGAGAATGGCCTGTGGGTCATCTACCCAGCCATCAGCTATGAGGGCTTCAACCAGGAGGTGATTGTGCTGAGCAAGCTGAACGCGGCCGACCTCAGCACCCAGAAGGAGACCACGTGGCGGACGGGGCTGCGGAAGAACTTCTACGGGAACTGCTTTGTCATCTGTGGGGTCCTGTACGCAGTTGACAGCTACAACAAGAGGAATGCCAACATCTCCTATGCCTTTGACACGCACACCAACACGCAGATCATCCCCCGGCTGCTCTTTGAGAATGAGTATGCATACACCACACAGATAGACTATAACCCCAAGGACCGCCTGCTCTACGCCTGGGACAATGGGCACCAAGTCACCTACCATGTCATCTTTGCCTATTGAGACCCCCTGCCACAGTGGGGCACTGCGAGCCAGGGGCCACCAGCACCTTTTATTATTATTTTTATTGTTATTATTGTTATTTTGTACAAATCAAAGAGTAAATGATGGATTTTTAAGCTGTTTTTTATGGCGGATTGTAGATCGATCCCAGGCCAGAACTCCCCCCTTAGTCTTTGCTGTAACCTTGCTTCTAGTTTTTCTTCCTGTAGGGAGGTCTTCCTTCAGGAGAGCAGACCTGGCTCTCCTGCCTGGGAGAAGAGGTGGCCTAGATGTGGTCCTCTTGATGAGGTTTTAGCTAACAATGATCACCAAGAGACCCAGAACCAGTGCAAAGCTGGCCTTCCTGCTGCAGGCATCAGGTCCCAGCGGGACTCTGATGTCTGCCTGTCCTTGTGGAGGATATGCATGTCCCATGGGAATGTCCTGTCTCTCGGGACCATCTTCCCAGCTGACGGTCAGCAGGCCCTTTGGAGATCCTGCTGTACAATGGGGCTGTGAGTGCAGCTCCGGCAGCCCCTGGTGCTGGCACTTAGGCTGAGAACAGTCCCCTCCAGCCTGGGCTCTGCCCTTTGCAACCTGCTCTGGGGGGCCGGGTGCACCCTGGGCCCTGACTCACATCTGGAGTGAGCTGGAGGTGGGAGGGGGACACTGTAAATACGTGTAGATGGCTTTTGTTTGTTCATTTTGTAACCCAAAATAGTCCCCTTCCCTGGTTGTTGTGCGAAAGCTCTGCTCGGCCAGGCACTGGGCTGCCTGGGTGGGGAGCTGTGGGTCTGGGGGAGTCCTGCTGCCACTGCTGCTCCATCTCCCCTGTGCCCTCTCAGTGCCATGCTCACCCTGGTCCTGGCTGCTAGCCATCAGGAGCTCCTGCCCTTCTGCCCAGCAGCATCTTGTATTTACCTGCTGTCAACAATAAAAGATCCAGTACCTTTGCAGCTGTTTGGGGCTTTCTTTGGGTCTGGCTTACCCTCTTGGTGCATGGAAGTGCATGGAGGGGTGATAATTTTGGTTGGTTTGGGGAATGCCCATTTACACATGAAGAGACTCGGCTGCTTACGCCTGGCACTCAGGCAGGGCAGCATGGCCATGTCCAGCCCTGAGAAGAGCTTGGCTCTGTCATGCCTGTCCTTGCCCTCAGGTCACTCAGGCTGCCATGGCCCCATCTTCCCCAGGCTCTGGGTGAGCAGCTCGTGCAGAATGCCCCCTCCTCAGGAGGAGGGGACTGAGTGCATATGCCTTCGGCAGTGGCAGTGCTGTGCAGCCCAAGAGACAGTGCTGACCTAGTCATTTGCCTAAGTAAAAGTATTAACAAGCAAAATAAATAGTAAAAATAAATAAAAGAACCATTTTATTGCCTTCAGTGCTAGGGACACAGAGAACAGAACTATGAGGGCCAAGAGGTGCTCTCCATCACTGGAGCCGGGTGCTGGCTGAGGATGCGGTGCCACAGCAGTGCCCGAGCCCCCAACCCCCCAGGCAGCTCTTTCCAACAGGCTGGCTGTGCCAAGCTCATCCACCACGGCCAGGTCCCCTCCCCAGCCACACAGCAGCACCCCCCCAGAGGCTGGTCACCCCTGCGCAGCACTGTGGGGAGCTGCGTGCTGCTGCCTGGGGCACTGCTGGGGCTTGGTTAAGACTATTGTGTGAGCTGGCCCACAGTCAGGTGGGGCCAGGCCAGGAAAGGAACTGGTGCAAGGAGCGCAGCCAAAGACCTCACTGAGCCCGGCTGCTTCCCAGCAGCGCAAGCGCCGAAGAGACGGGGGGCCTGTGCAGCTCACGCTGACTACGTGGCAAAGGGCAAAGCTTTTCCATAGTGTTGCAAGGCACATACTTTACAGGGGTGTATTGCTCCTCACCCTCCTCCTGGCCTCCCCCAAGCTATTTGTCTTGCTACAGGATCAACTTTTATTTCCTAACAGCCACACACACAAATAATATTAATAACAATAATAATGATAATAAAAACACCCCAC